TTTTTGAAGTGATTCATATTTTTACGCCAGAAACTTGAGTTTTTTTTGTGAGGAGAAAGGTAATTAGGCTTTTCCAAAACATACGCAATTACTTAGTTGCCAATGAAATATCTGCAAAGAATCACAGTTTGGCCACTGCACTTTTTTGTTTCAAGTTTAGTCGGCCGCTGCAGTGTAATAGCGGAACCCTGCGCTTGATTTTCATGCTGCTAACACCTCAGAGAACATCCTGACTCATGTTTTCCAATCACTTTTTTTTGTAATTACTTTTTATGATTCGATTATCTGTATTCTGCTGTCGAAAACGTTTTAACACCGCCCCATAACCTCTTCTGTAAAAGAAAGCTCAATTAAGCTATCAATTAAGCTATTATTATATCAATTAAGCTTCATCAATAGTCATTACTGGCCATTAATATTTCCTATGATATATATTCGCTACAGCCTTCAGGGCTAGAGCCGATTTTCTTGCATCCTTCCTGCAGTTCACCTCAAGAAGGTGCACTCACACCTTCCTAATCCCCTGAACCCCTTGAACCTCTACTTTTCTTCTTCGCTTTCAAAATTTCTGGGAAAAAATGCGAACGTGAAGAGTCCACTCTCCCAAATGAACTATAGGTTTTCAATGGGAACACATTTTTCTTCTCATCTTCATCTATCCCTTAACTTATGCGACACTAAACATAACAAGCTACGTCGTGCTTTCCAGGTTTTCGCAACATTGTGTCAGCTTGCAGTAAGAGAGTCATCGCTGTTACACCGTGGTCCAATCTCTTTGGTCCCAAGTAATCCCTAAAGGCTTACACAAAGCTCGAATTCAGCGCAACGTCTGCTTTTTCGTTGAAAAACTGTTGCACAGTTGCTGTAATGTACTCATTTTTTGGTCTAGTTGAGTCCAGCCGAGAATGAGTTCGAAGTCTGGGCTCATAGGAGAAAGCTCTGAACCGCGGCTATCGAGTTGGAGAAAAGAAGTCATTTCTTTCCGCTAAGGCCGCTATGCGACTTTATGTCAGGCCTGTTTTTCTGCTTTTGAATGACACCTGGGCAACCATTGCACTGCAAGTAAAGTTCTTCATGGTCAATAAATGTGAGGGCAAAACCAAGAAAAACTTTCATTCGCCATAAAAAGTCATGTGTTTTGCAAATGTATAGCGAGGGGAGGAAAAATGGGCGTGGCTGTTTCGACGCCTCGGGTGTTTTCCAAAAAGATTGTATCAACCCAATATTGACAGTGACAGCGTGGATACATTCCTCTGTTTTCTCAGTTTCCAGTCACACAATGGAAGAAGAGGACTAGGCCGCGAGAGTGATCAATAATTATCCTCAATTTAGCAATAAATTTTATTGCAATGAAAAAACTTACACCAGCCTTATCTCTTGTAATAGTCTCATCGCTTTCCAAGCTCTTGGTCCATCATTGCACAAACCTGATGACCTCAGAAACGAATGTTTTCGGCTGGGCGACAGTTCCTCCAACTTATCAACTAAGATAAGTAGGACGCTATTCAATGCCCTATTGCAGGAGAAATATGTAGGGACAAGGGATAGTCGTAGGCGCAAGATCAGAACCACATGAAGAACATATCTTATTCCAAGCTTGAAGTCCTGGATTGTAGTCGCCAGTAGCGTAGGAAGCAGAAGCAGGATGTGGTCGAGCACTGCCATTCAAAGTCACGACCCCTTTTGTCGGTTATAGTCTCCGTTTACTTGGAATTGTAGTCTGCAGCCTGTCAGTAAGCATCTTACTGTAACACGCAATGCTTATGTTGGCTAGTGCCCCAGGAATGTTCAAGTATCGAGCCCGGGCAGTCAATTTCAAGGATGAATATCTCCTTCTGTTTACTGATCTCCAAATAATTTCTTCCATGGCGATCGTGGATATTCCCATCCCATTCCAAACACTGTTGTTTACCCCCACGCTAGTGGCGATATTGTTTAGCCCGCTTCGGAGAGACTTGAAGGGACCGTCGAATTAGGGAATCGACTATTGAAAGTTTATTTTAAGGCATGCCTCTCACATCTTCTGTAATACAATTTATAGGTTTTTACAGCAATTATCGATAGATCCTCTTTATTTATGTGCAAGTTTATGTGTACACAATTGTATGTGCTCTGTGGTCTTGTGAAAGTTACCTAGCAACCGATTTCTTTAGATTTATCTCTTTGTGTGAAATTTATCGGAAAGTAGTCGCACAGTTCGCAATTACCCAGTTTCTAATGCTAGTCATAATTTTATTCGATACTTTAGGATATCGTTCGGTTTTGAATTCTACGTGTCAAATTTACTTAGCTATATCTGAGAACAAGTGCTCTCCCCAATCTGTTCCTACCAAGATAGGGAAAAAAATCTTGACTTAAGGTGAACTGATGTGAGAACAAGGCTACTTGTGTAATTCTCCTAGAAGCTTTCTCGAAGGTTTCGCATAAGAAGCGTGACCCAGAGAGAGCAGAAAGCTTTCTCAAAAGTTCTTGCCTCTGTAACGTCTTCTAACACTGCAGTGATAGCCAGTGTTAATGAGAGATCCACGATTTGCCTCAATGGTAAAAAGCCAGCATTGCGAGGTTTACTGAGAGGCGCAAGCTTTCAAGCATAGCTATTTGGCTAATTGTTTCTATATGAGACAGAGGAAACGAAGGAATTGGCTATTTACAATCCTCATATTCCCTATTGACTTCATTTATTCGCGTGTAGGCAATTAATATACAACCCCCTCATGCGTTGTGAAGTGAATGAATGCGTCACATCTATCACTTGCGCTTTGGTCGTAGGAGAGGATCGGGTCGCGTAAGGCTTTCTATCACGCTTTTATGTTCCGGAAAAGGTTTTGCAAATTGGTACTAGCCCGGACCTGCCAAACTTTCCGTCCTCCATATTTCGTGGGCATTTAATTGATATCGAAATCATCTAGACAAGTAAAAAAGCACTTACATCGGCTGTTTAGGAAACCGTTGTAGGTTTTTTTGAAGCGCCATTACCATTCTGAATGGCAAAAAAATCAGGATCAAAGAAATTCAGTTCGTAAAACTTCTTTCCACTCCGTTTGGTCATGCCTTTTACATCCTCCTNAAAGTTTCCCGCAATTGTGTGGATCTCATAAATGAACATCAGTAAACAAAAAAGAAAGGCCTAAGGGGGACCACGTGAATGAGCTTTCAGCCTACATCAAACGTATACGATGTGGGCTGAAAGTTCATCAACGTAACGTATTGCACATAAGGAGCTTCATGAGTGGGCACAAACGTGGGTCCTGGGAAAAAAAGAATGGTTCCTCAAATACTACTGCAAACCCTTTTGATTTGCTTGGAACTACGATCCCTGTTTCCACCGCTATCCAACTTCCATAAAAGCGCCAACCAGGAGGAAGAGGGTAGTGATGAGATGGTTTGTAACGCAATTCGAGTAAAAACTTCTCCAAGCAAATCTTTACACAGTCGAATCTCCTTCGCAGATGTGATTATTCGTTTGAAGGGACCTTTTGGCAAACATTCAACCCTGCTCTGCTAGGTGTTCCTTGATCGTTAGCCTAGATTGCCCTGGGATGGCACATCTTGATTCAGGAGCTAGTTGAGCGGATGGCGTCTCGAGTACTGTATGCTTTCACCTAATTGCTGTTTAGTTCGAACATACGATAAGGGCAGCTGAACCTTCATGAATAGGTTGTCTTTATTGAAACAGAACATTGAGCTCATTTTTCGAGCTGATAGAAATGCTTACTGAGATATTCTTAACATTAAGTTAATTGAAATTCTCGAGTTTGTTTGTTTCGTGAAGCCTTCAGACTCCACTGTTTGCTGGCCAAATGATCTCTGTTGGGGAAAAAACATTGCCGATTATTGGAGATTGGGATATTTGCGCATCACGCTTCCATAACTCAAAAACAATTACCTCAGAAGAGATGGAGGAGTTAGCAAAGATAAAGCTTCGATATCCCGCCCACTCATTAAAGCCCTTGGACACATCCAGGCTCTTCACATTCATATGCGTTTGAAGCGACATAATGTCGTTTTCCGACTTGCTCTGTATCAATCTGGACCGGTTTGAAAAGTTGTCTCTATACAGCATCTCTCTTGTATTTAATTCTGTATTTGCACACCTGTAATTGTTGCCGATTTCCATTCACTAGCAGCCCATTCAGCCTGAACTGTACAGAAGTAATTATATACCTGTCAGATACTCTTCTCGTTCGTTGCTCTGCCTCTATGCTAGGAGTAGCAGAATGGATAAAGACGAAAATTTCAGGATGGGAACTCCGGAATCGTCAGCCGCATCAAATTCGTCACGAATACGGGAAGGGTTCCCTGCAAGGACACCGTCTGCGAATAGTCTCTCCTCAGGTAACGTATTCTGAAGCCAGGAACTTTATTGAAATGGTCTCACAAGGGAAGTGAAGTATGGACCAAAGTTCGGCCTCAGATCCAGTTGTGCTATCTGTGCACCGTGCTCTAATCTGTCCATCAGGGTACGTATTTCGACAGTAAATCAGATTAAGCCCTCCTCCCCCCTTCATCCCGATGCAACACATCAACTGTATAGTTTATGATACTTTTTATTATCTGAGCCAATTAATCCATATCCTTCCTGAGCTCATTGACTGTCACGAAAGTTGGTAACTCAGAAGGGTATACAGCTACAGATAGATAGATCGAATTTGTCAGGACGTCGTGTGTTCTGAAAACGTCTCCAAACAGCAGTACACTGATAATTAATGATCGAGAGTCCAAGGTATTGCAGGAGACTTAATCTACTGCATTCTATCCTGCCCCATGACTTTTTCCTGCCCACTTCAATAAGAAAAAATATGACATAAGTAATATACAAGCCATTAATGACCATAATAGTCGGAAACTCATGGCTTTTTCCACCGACGACGATATACCTTGTAATTCTGACAACGATCCAACAAAGAAAGAGAGTAACTTCACTGTTCAGTCCATACCGTAGAGCGATGGCTCATTCTCAATGCTTGAGTTGTTGTTGCGCTTGTGAAACTTGCAAATTCAGATACTTCGCCACACCGTGCGCTAACGTCGGTAGCGGCCACGACGCTAGAGCCTGCGACACGTTTCGCGACCGCTGATCTCGTCGCATCTGTGCTTCATCTGGACTTTTGGGATGATGACCAACCAAGCACTATGTATGTACGATACTGCCTACTTATAGGATCAGGCTTCAACCTACAGCAATTTTCAATTCATCAATTGGTTTAGCTCGCCAACTCTGTTTTCGTTCCCAAAATTTATTATTGAATGTGAGCGTCCATGTCCCATGTCTTATCAAGAGCAATCACTAATCGTTCAGTAATGCCCGTTACAGTTGAATAATGGTGGGAATGAGGTTTAGAGGACATATTAGGTTACCGCTGCCCATACTGCCGATCCAATACCAGTCCTGTTAAAGGTTTCAGCAATGTGAATGGAAAAAAACGTTGTATATTACAGTCAAGTCTCGTAGATTCTATGCCGCTTCCGAGGGGTCAAAAGTGTGAAGTTCCCAAGAGAGGAAGTTATCATACTAACTGTAAGTGGTGAACTGGCTATAACATATGCTCCTCTTTCAAACAGGCCTACCAGACTCCGATCCATTCTGGTAGGTATTTTTTGAGTTGGGAAAGAATCAACGTGAATCCAGCCGCTCATAGTCCTCAATAAGCAATTTTATATGTAATGGCATCTAGGCAGAGCTGGTGTGTAGTTCGACACACTATCACACACGCACACGTTTACGGTTTTGGATATCAGATCGATAGACGTCTACATCGTCTACCTCTAGGGGTCGTTTCATTGTTAATAATCTCGTCTGGGAAGATTAGAACCGTGTCTTGCACATGGGCTGGCCACCGCAAGTCACTTGTATAGTTCACATACACGCCATGCGATTTTGAAAGGAAATCGATGGCGGTGGCACATCCCTCAGACGGGATTGATCAACGCCCAGAGACGTTAGACTTCATTATGGCATCTAATGTTGAGCTGATGCCTTGCATGTGCTCTAGAAATTCCCCATTTTCAGATTCTTTACGAAATTGGCCTTTGAAATTGTCAGCACTTACCTACAAATTCCAGAAAAAGTGACGCGGTCGATCAAAACCCATTTAGAGGTTCGTGTTGATTGCCATTTAGTAGTTTTGCGAACGTTTTCTCTTCGTATTCTGTATGATACCAAGACACTTGCTGTAGCATTTCCATTGCAAAGTTCAAATTAGGATTGATTGGCGACAGATGTTTCAGGGAGAAGAGAAAATCCCTGACATTGCTGCACTGATAACCACTATCAAATCGGATCCTCTGATAATAGAAAATGGAACAATTACCGTGCTCGGAGGTTTATTAGTGGCGTTTGTGAATTCAGGTAAGCTGAGAACGAAATCTGCTTCAGAAACAATATGTGAACAAGGTGTGCTTCAGGTAATTATGACGCCAGATATCGGGTGCTTCTCAGGCACGTTGCTACATTACTGGGTGTTGTTTGGGAAGAGTTTGAAGACGTCAGTCAGTTTGCTGCCGACTTTGCATACTTTCCTGACGACTAGAATCTGATGGATTTTTATAGGTCGAAGATTCGCTGGCAAGCACGATTACCGAAGAGGTTTTTGTGGAAACGAAGTAAGTGCTAGACGATATCGTTTTGTTTTTTCTTTGATTGAAACTGATTCATGTGAGATTATGAATAAGTATTTCAGTAAAGGCCGACAAGCGTGAGTTGTTTGTGTAGTGATTAGTGTCGTCTAGGTAGAAAGTCTGTAGGTGGTGTAGAGAGTCGAAAAGTGAATTTCAGGCATTCAAAGCTTGCTCGAGAAAAAGTACAACGGAACAAGAAAATCAAGCGATTTCTTCTTGTGGGTGCTGCTGGAAGCGTAGGAGGAGTACTCATCGGTAAAACATTTTTGATTTAACTGCTATACTTCAGACCTGCGAATCCTCCACCAGTCGATTATTTGCTATGCATAATTAGTCAGTATCTCTTCTATTGTTAACTGGTCTAGAAAAAATTGAAGTTCTCCACCTACTAACGACCAAGATGTGATTGATGGCGATGTTAAAGCATGCTATCAGTCAATTCCCTCTTCTTAGCTTACCGTAGCGTATGAAATTCTCCCTAATACCTTCAAGGAGGGGAAAAATGAACGCCTATCTGGAATCGGGTGTGGGACCGTAGTTACTAGGGTTCGCACGCATTGCTGGAGTTTCACTGCCTCTTGAACGCTATTTCTCTTTCAACTATAGCGATCGAAGGGTTCGCCAACTTATTCCCAGTATTTAAGGTCTCACCGGAGGTCTAGCAGCTCCTCTTGTCGCAGCGGGTGCAGGTGTGCTTATCGGCTCAGGCGCTGCTGCTTTGGCCACTACTGCAGGTGCTGCTGTTCTGGGAACAACGTTCGGAGTAGCTGGAGCAGGCTTGGCAGGTTATAAGGTGAGGCCGAAACCAAGTATCTATCACTCATCAGAACCTACTGTTCAGAACTGTTGCGAGACGACCAGTCTCGTATATGACCAGGTTGAATCGATTCTTTTCAGATGAATAAACGGGTCGGAGCGATTGAAGAGTTCTCCGTAGAAACACTTTCAGAAGGATCGAGCCTTCATTGCGCATTGGTAGTTTCAGGATGGATCGAAGAAGATACGGTATGAATGTTTGTAACCCTCTGAAGTTCATTCATGGATATTTTCGACGTTTCAGTCGTGTGAGCAGGCGTTTGAACATCAATGGAGGCATCTGAACTTAGCGCGAGAGCAGTACACATTACGCTATGAGAGCAAGTATCTGATGGAATTGGGAAAAGCTATGGATTACATCATGGGCTTTGCTGTCTCTGTTGCTATTCAACAAACACTCATGGAAACGGTTCTAGCAGGTGCTCCGCTGCTCTTTTCCATCTTTCTGTTGGGATCACCAATGGCTTTCTGATTTAGGTCTGGTCGCTGCGGTAGCTTGGCCAGTTGCAATTGTTTCAGCCGCTTCAGTTCTTGATAATCCGTGGAATGTTTGTGTGGCGAGGGCAGCGGAGGTTCGCTCTTAGTCGTTCACATCGACTTTCCAGATTTTCTCAAAGCAAAGCAGTTCAGGTTGGGGAACATCTGGCAGAGTTGCTTCTTAGCCGGTCACATGGCAAGCGGCCAATATCGCTGATTGGATTTTCGCTTGGAGCCAGGGTCATCTATCATTGTTTGCTTGCAATGAGCAAGCGATCAGAATCGGCAGGTAAATCGTTCAAGTGACACTTCTGTATAAAAACGCCTAAATATTTGTATTATTCTCCAGGTATAATTGAGGATGTCATCTTGCTTGGGGCCCCAGTTTCTGCTTCACCGAAACAATGGGAACAACTATGTACCGTTGTCGGAGGAAGAGTTATCAACGGTTACTGTGAGACAGACTGGCTGCTACGGTACGTACCATTTTGATAACAACTTCGATTTCCTGTAGATTTTTGTGACTTTCAGGTTTCTCTATCGTACAATGAGCGTGCAGTTCACAATTGCTGGAACCGGTCCGGTAGTCCACAAAAACAGAAAGATTTTCAACTACAATCTCAGCCACATAGTGAGTTTCAGCCGATCGTTTCTAGTGATCAAACTTGTACAGAGAGTTTTTTAGGTGAAAGGCCATCTGGACTATTCTCGAAAACTGTCTGAGGTACTTGCAGCTGTTGGAGTGAGCGTGAAGCAATTTTCACCTGATCTTTCTGGAGAGAATTTTCGTGAGGCTGTTGGAGAGGCACAAGATGCCCTGACAATCACAGTTCCTGAACATGATAAAAATGGAACAACTCAGAATGGAACTGATGCTGACCTTCAGAAAATAGAGGAAATCTCCATAAAGGACAAAGAAAGTACAAAATAGACTACCTTGGATGTTTCTATCATCACCTTGCTGTTGATCTTTTCTGTATATGTGGACACTATCGATATTAACTGCCGGGCTGCTTCATACGTGTGGTTTTCGATGTGATCTTTTGATACGAGTCCTAAGAATCTAGTCGTTTGCTATGTGTCAAATCAATTTCATAGAAAATTGCTGACATCTTTGTTAATAATTTATTTCATTGATTTCTTCAGTCACTCGTTACAGCGAGAGTTCATGAAACCATCTCTGTTACACTGTCAATCCTTTGTCGGGGAGAGAGAGTTAATAAAATTATGTAATCATGTAGTTGTGATGTGTCTCATATGAGTTCTTATCGGGGCTTGCTTAACCCACTTTGTGAACTAACGTCAGTAAGGAAGAATGGCATGGTAGGTTCTCAAAAAAGACCTCAAACACCCTTCGGTTACCTGTTTTAGTCTTTCGAATGAAAGGTCAATCCCGATTAGTTGAGGGGATGAAAACGTTGTTCGAGGCAACAGCTCAAAAATCGCACGAGGCAACCGAGCAACCTAGCCACCTACGACTGATGCCTGTGTATACGATTTTCAACAAAGCAAATTATAGACACAATCCGCGAAGATGGAATGTGGGCAGTTGTGCTCAAAATTGACTGTGACGGTGTCAAGTGGCAGATGGAGAAGAAAAAGAGGACGAGCTCCTGTAAGTGGCCGAAATGAAGCTATCCTGTTTGCAGGTGATCTGCGCCATCAGGGCCGGAAAAGTTAAAGGAAGAAGACCGGAATTGCCATTGCTTTATGTGCCGCAACTGATTGACCAATACCTTGGCTTGTGTTATTTAAGTTACCTTCTGCCCATGAGACTGCCCTCTTCGATCGTACTTCACATTATTAATGTATTTAAATGATGAAAACTCAGCACTGGCTCTGGCAAGGCAGTGTCGAGACCCCAGGGAGCAAGCTTGCTAAGACGGCAATAAAACAGCCTCAGTACCCCGTACACTAGGCCCAGCCGTTTCCGGCATCGGACGGCTTGGCGAAGCACAAGAGGAGGAGTTCAGGATTGGAAAGTTCGAAATGGGAGACAGGAACGAGAACGGAAACCGTCTAGCTGGAGTCTTGCCCGCGGCTCGACTGTTCCATGAAACTCTTTTTTCCAGAAGAAGGAACATCGCCGCTGGACATAGGGTCTCCAAACGGTACAACTCATGCTGGACTGGACCACATACTAACAAACAGAAAGTGGTGCTTACTAGACGCTGGTGTGGTACCATCTTTCTGCAGTGGTTCTGATCAACGACTCCTTCACGTTAAGATCAGATCTAGTCACAAGCCTGAAAAGATTTTTCAACATCGCGCAAAAATTTCGAAGCATGTTGTATACGGCGTAGATGTTCTGAATGACGTTTTGTCCCGATATGATTGGCAGGTCTTGGATGACCCTACCGAAGACTACGACGCGCTGGCTTAGAGTCTCCTCACTTGTGCTGAACAGGCTAAGCTTCCGCTAGTGGATACCTCCGCTCGCATTTCAGATGCGACGAGGGATCTTCTCAGAACGAGATGAAGCTTGAGGCTTGACCAGAACGCCACAATTTTTAAGGCTGCAAGCGCATATCAGCTGCAGATAAGCAGTGCGGCGAGACCTTCAGCTACACGGAAAGGAGACTACTGGAGGCAGCCTTGAACAGAACTAATCTGAGAAAATGCCATCGGGGCCTCCAGGACCACAGTATTCCACTTTTGTGTTTGAAGAAGGAGGATCGAACACTTACAACATCGAGATTTGAGATGAAGGAAATTACACGGAGGTTTTACAAGAAACTCTACCGACCCACGACACACGTGCGAGAACCAAAAATCCCCACTGGCGAAACAGCGCCTCGGATCCTTCCTTCGGAGGTGAGAGTTGCGATTACGAGCATGAAAACGGGCACAACTCCAGGCCCCGACAAAATCTCAGCCGACCTACTCAGTGCAGGAGGCCACGAACTTCATGCGCTTCTCGCAACACATATGACATCCCACCTCCAGAAGGAGAAGATCCCCAACCAGTGGAGCAACTCGCGGATGGTCATTCTTCACAAGAACGGAGACCGGGATGATCTTCGCAACTACCGCCCAATAAGCTCGTCAAGTGTGCTTTTCAAGCTGTTCACGAAGATCATTCTAACCCACATATCGCGAACGTTGGATGAAGCTCAACCTGTAGAGCAGGCTGGATTTCAGAGGGATTCAGCTGCTTAGACCACATCCAAGCGGTCGCAATGGTCATCGAAGTGTGCCGAGAGTTCCGAATGCCTTTTGTCCCTACCTTCGTTGACTATGGCAAAGCTTTTGACAGCGTCAAAACGAATGCGGTCATTTCAGCACTAGCCGATCAAGGAGTGGACCCTCCCTACACTAGCTGACTGCAGTAGTCGCTGCAGCGCAACGGTGAAACTGTTCCTACCGAACTCTCCCCATTTCCATAGGGAAGGGTGTGAGACACCATTTCGCCGAAGCTGCAGTGGGTTATGAAGTCGCTAGACCGCAAGGAAAAAGGTATTCGTGTGAATGGACGGTTCCTCCAAATCTCCGCTTTGCGGACGACATCGTTCTCTTTTCGAGCAGCATTGCGGAAGCTGAGACTATGCTTGCTGAGCTTAATAAAGCAGGAAAGAAGGTGGGGATGCGGGTCAACCAAACAATTACACAGTTCCTGAAGAATGTTTGGGCTATCGAAGGTCGAATTAAGATCGATGGTACACCCATCAGGAAACCTCTCCCTACGTGTATCTCGGGCCTTCCATGAATATGAACAACGACATGAAGGAGGAGCTGGTAAGACGGCAGAAAGCAGCGTGGTCGGCCTTCGGACCTCTGAAAGAGGTCATAACAGTCTGGCCGACCCGGAACTTCGCGCTAATCCGTTCGATTCCACCGTTCTTCCTGCGCTCTGTTACGGGTCGGAGACTTGGGTGACCAGTGCATCCACATCTAGGGCTTTGAGCACAAGTCAAAGAGTGCTCGAGCGATGTCTTTTGAAGTCCAATCGGCTCACCGAATATCGGGCCGGGCTCCGCAGCTCCGATATACGCAGAATGTGTCGCCCCCACGATCCGGTGGAATATATGAAGAACGCTAAATCTCTGTGGGCTGGTCATATCATGAGAAGAGATAATTACAGATGGACAAGGAGGGCAGTTGAGTGGGCTCCCGTAGTATCTTCACGATCTGAGGGTAGGTTTGCTGCGAGGTGGGGGATCCGCTTGTCGCTCATGTGAAACAGCTGCGGAAGCAGCTGAACGATTCCTCACATCGTCATCTTGTTGAATTCTGAGTCTACCATGAATGGCTTTGTTGCTCGTGCTCGCACATGAGTGAAGACGAGCCGTATAAGTAAGTATAAGAAGGTATAAAACGGCGTCCGTGATCTACTCTCGTAACCGGCTATTCTCTGTCTTCTTTACTACTCTCTCGATATTCTTGAATGCTCCTTAGGCTGTCGTTTCCTTCTGCTCAGCTCCGAAGCTAGGACGTTCATCATGTTGATTCCTCTACCTGAATGCACGTGGCTAGAGCACTCGGAGATACTAGTTCGCTTCAGCGGAGCATCAGGTAGCGATCTGTTTCTCGTGAACATCGTCTTCGTTAAGTTCAGTCTCAGGCCGATCTTTCCCGAGCAGTGTCGAATTCGGCTAGCATCCATACCGCCTGCTCGATGTTTGATGTTGAAAGCATGATTTCGTTAACAAAGCGGAGATGGAGTAGGTAGCAATAGTCGTGCCTCCCTCATTCCGAACAACGCATGATGTTCTCGAGAGCACCACTGAAGTTAGGGCGAGATGGTCTTGTATCTCTAGACCCTTTCTCACGTTGACAATGACTACCGTTGTGACGAAATCCTGGTCGCGGAGTTGTCGTAGAGTCCAAGAAGTAGCCTTATATATTTAGTAGAAGCACCCCGGTTGCTCAAGGCTTCAACTGCCGCTTCCATGTCTGACGTCAAGTCAGTCGTGCGTTTGTACCGTATTCGCATAGATGCATTGAGGGAGCGCTGTGCCTCTATTGCTGATAAAATGTGCGAAGGGGGGTAGAGGTCGGATTTGGCTTGTTCGCTCGCCCGAAGGTGTTCTCCTCGCGAAAGCAGGACGGCGCAGTGCTTCTTAGCATGCGCAAATGATCCAGCTCTCATCTCCTCTTCCTCTTCATCACCTCTTTGCCATGTGGACGGAGAAGGAACGATTGACAAATGGAAACCCGAGTGTACCGCATGCTATCGGACAAAATATGAAACACCTATCAAGTCAGCACTTTTCTGTAACCGAAGGGTGACAGGCGAGTGATTGGGCATTCCACACTCTGGAAAAAAAAGAAAAGAAAAGAAAAGACTGCGGTGGTTAA